CTTGTTGACCTTCAGGTTCAATGAACTCTGGTATCTCCCAGCGTTCGTCCACAAACGATCGTTGCTGATTGTCCCGAGATGCATAACAACCTAAGCCTCCATCGTGGCGTCGAGGGAGGAATTGGTACGCAAGAGCTTCCGCCGCGTTGCACGGCCTGAGCCTGTTGATTGCGACGCAAACTGGGACCCACTCGGCGATGACTTGCGCGTTCTTGCCATCGAACTCGACCATTCGGGAACCTGTGCTCCACTTGGCTGTGACTTCACCCTCAGTCGGCCTCTCGCGAAAACATACCACGTCACCAACCTGGTATTCACCTTCTGAAGGTGCGGCCTTTCGGAGCACAGCACGTGCTGTCCGACTCCGGACGTCGCGCTCGGCCAATGCTTTGTGCGCTGCAGCGCGGATCGCTGCCTGTCGTGAGAACCCAGTGAGATGGCGAGAATCCTGCTACTCGACACATATCGTTCTTTGTGCGGTCCACTTCTGCGGCTGCTTCCATTACCTCAGCAAGTCCGATGACACTCTGGTCGTGACCCACCTCTTTGAATACATACTCCCGTAAACCACCGTGCCTCTCAGCACGCCCGATTTGCACTGGGAGCTCGACTCCTGCGCCACGGAGGTCGATCCCTTGGCTCTTAACCAATTGTAAGAAGACACCTCGATTGTGTAGTCCTCGATCCAACACAATCCGCTTGGGTTCACCAGCCCGCGCGCACCAATGCTGCTGGAATGCCGCGAGGCACGTCCTTGAGGATGGTGTGCCGCATATGACAAGCTGGAACGTGGCCCCTTGGCAGATAATGTTCAGGAAGGCGTGCCTTTCTCCACTGTTGTCCTTGACCTCGATACAATCATTCCCACTTTCATGCTTGAAGCATAGATGAGTTTGAGCTAGCGGCCTTTGGTGTTCGCAAGATTCGCACCTGTGGTGCTTCGCTGCTTCAATGTACTCTGTTGACCTCCGCGTGTGTCGACAGCGACGACGTCGACGTCGACTGAGTCGAGCGACGCATCTACACTCTCCTCGGCCGCCTCAGCTGGGAAGGCGGTCGCAGTAAGACGATCTAGCCGTATCTGCTGACCGAGATCACGCGGGAAGTCACGAAGCTCGGGCGTGCTTGCATCGGGGTCTGACTGTAGTTCAGAGTTCAGCGCATCCGCAACGCAGAGGCTTGAGCAAGCAGCCTCATGACCAAGTGCAACGGTGACTAAGCCATTGTTCGTTGACAGCTCCTCAAAACAATTACGGATACTGCTGATGTTATGACCAGTGGCATGAGCGATGATGCGATCAGGAGGACTGCACTCGATGATCTCTTTTTTCACGCACGCGCCCTAGGATGGACGAGTCACAACAAATCACAACATCCTCCGCCGCGCCGCTCGCGAAAGCGGCCCCCGCAGCGGCGAGGCCGACGGTGAAGCGCAGCAACTTGCCCGCGGAGGCGTGGCCCGTGAGCGGCGTCTCGGCGCCCGTCAACCACTTCGTGATGATGGCGTCCTTCTTGTCCACATTGACCAGGCCAGCGCAGTAGTGCGCCCGCTTCTTTGCATTCATGGTGGTCATTTGATTCCCATCAAGTCTAAGCGGCGCACGCAAACAAGCCGTTCCGCCATGATGTATACCAGGCGGCTGGGTGAAAACAGGTCCTGTCATGCTCTTGCGCGTCAAACCACGAGTCCATGAGCGCGGGATTCTCGAGCTGTCCCCACTCATGTGTCTCCTTGTGGCGGCCCGTAGTACTCTTTCGCCAAGTGGCCCACGACGTGAGGTACTTGATCTTCGTGTCATAAGTCATAAGGGTCAAACTTGAGATTGTCACGTGCCATGCTGCGGCTGTCCATGTGCTTAGATGCTGATGTTTCGCCTTGCTCAGAAAATGTCACAGGATCAGGGTGCGTGATGAAATTTCGCTTCTTAGCAGATTCGAACAACGATTCCATCTGCCAATCTCCAACATTCAAGGGTTTGAAGTCCTCGACTGGATCTCCGCCCCTGTCGTCGCTTATCCGCAGGCCCCTGTGTCGAGATCCGGGAACAGTAGCCGCGACGGCAGGCGGCGGCGGTGGAGGTGGCATGGGTGCAATTGCCCTCGGTGCATGAGCCAGTGGCGGCATTGCGGGCATCCGAGCGCGAGGGGATGCTGGCTGCGATGCTGACGGTGGCCTGGGAGTCAACGCGGCAACCGCAGATGGATCACTCTCCGCCTTGCGCTTTGGAGTTGGAGTCTCTCGCGCCCGTTTGGCGTCGGGCTTAGTCTCCGCGGGGCGGCTAGGCCCTGCCGTGGCCGTAGGTTCATCGCCATCGTAATCACGAACAACAAAGTCATCCCTGGCGGCTTCCGCTTGGAGCCTGCCTGCCTCCTTGAAC